CCCGGCGCAGGGAAGCGGGAAGGGGCAGGCGGAGCGCACACATTCCAGCGGAGGAGCCGGCAATCGATTCCTCGTTTCCATCAGCCCTTAATTAAAAGGACGCTGCCGACTGACGCGTGCCCTGGATAGCTGCGTCCTGAGATCAGAGGGGAGCGTCCCTGTTATCCCGTCAGACGCTCCCATTCCGGCCAACGCTGTGGTCCCATTTCCCATCCGGGTGCTAATCCGCAGGGACAGGACTCAGGCTCTGCTACAAAGCAAATTTTGTGGAATTTTACATACCTGATGTTGATATTCCGCTCCCTGGCCTTTAAATATTTCCCATCCGGAAACAGACTTAGCCCAGAGCAGGGCCCAGCTCCCTCCTCCGGCCTCAGGCAAACAAAACTCCCCGAGATAACCAAAAACTAATTTTTTAACTATTTTTCTTTCCCAGTTGCAAATGACCTGTCCTATTTACAGACTAGCAAACACAAGGAAACGCTCCCATTGCATTGGAGCCTCCGAGCGCCGCCCTCGCCCTTCGTTAAAAACTCCCTTCATTAAAAAAGAGCCGCGGAATAATTACAAAGGTGCCTGAAACGTTTGGAATCCGGGAGGACCGGGGTTTTCACGGGACACTGAGCCAGACGGATGTGCAGAACAAGCAACGAAGGGAAAACTGCCTCGGATTGATGCAAATCCGATGGCAAATCCCTCGCGCATCCTGCCGGGCAGAGCCAAACGAAGGCCCCTTCCCGGCTCCGGCTCGCCACAACTCCCTGGAATTAGGCGGAATTTCAGGTCAACGTCACGGGGAGCTTCATCATCAGGTCGGGCAGAGCGATTTACTCGGCTGCCGCGTGGGTGTTTAGGATTTAAAATAGACGTGCAGTAACTGGGGTGGTTGTTGGTGACAGTCACCGGGCCCTCCGGCTCTGCGAGCGGGTGCGACCCCTCCGAGGGCTCCTCGCGGCGCCCTCTTCCATGGCATGGTCGGGATAAGCCAGGCAGAGCGGGAATGCGGTGGGATGGAAAACACCCGGGGATTTTCCTTGCACGGCCCCGTCCGGAGCAGCTCCCGTTCCGTGCAGGGCACCTCGTGCAACTTTAATTGTCCCCTTCGTGGCACAATCCAGGTAACTCTGCAAGAACCCAGCCAAGCCGGGATCCAACCGGGATCCAGTCGAGATCCAACCAGGATCCAGTCGGGATCCAGCCTGCACATCCGCCGAGCCGAATCCTCAATTTTCACCCACATCCCTGTTTCCTGCTGCTCACACAAGCCCGGCAGCGGCTCTGCTCGGCACGTGGCAGCCAGGCCACGTCGGCATCACGTGTGGGACGGGATATTGTCTCTCTGCAGAGGATTTTAGCCTCTTTGGCAGCAGTTTAACGCTGTTTTTATGGAAGACATCCCTTCCTGGGGACGCACATTGCTGCGCAGCAGCAGGTGTCCCAGTTTAGCCGGAGATCTGGACGCCTCCGGCAAAGCACGCGCTAATCCCAGCCGCCTCTTCCCACCTACTTTGAAGGGAAGAGAACAGGCCTGAGTGTTTATGGCATGGAATTGGGGACAACATCTCCGTGATGCCTCCCAAGGGGAAGGCAGATCCCCTGCTCCGAGGAGCGCACGCGCTCGCTCCCCAGAGCTGCTGCTCCAAGCGGAGAATGGGCGGGCGGATTTATCCCGTTTATCCCGACATGTCCCAGTCTTCCAGGTGGGGAAGAGCCGGGCACATCCAAGAAACGTCCTCCAAGGTCTCACCTTGCTGCCCGCAGAACAAGCCGGGTCCTCGCGGCCACCCCACTGGGACCCTATTCCCAGGCCAGGGACGTTCCCGTTCCCCCTGCGCCCGCGTTCCTGCTCCATTCCCAGTCCTCCATCCCCTGCACTTCCTTTCCCCCCGTTTCCTTCCTTCAGGGCTGTTCCCATTGGAGCCCCGAGCGCTGGGGAGGCAGCGGGGGCAGCGCACGGAGCGGTGCCCGTCCCCTCGGCGTCCCGAAGGCACCGGCTGCTCCCTGCCCCACGCCTGGATTTGCGGCACGAGGGCGGCCCGGTCTGCACGGAGCAGGGCAGAGCTCCAGCCTCCTCCTGCCAAAGCAGGAATAGCTCCAAAGGGAGCCCGGGCCGCCCGCTCGGCGCAGGGAAGGAGCCGCCGCGCGCGGGCAGCGCCGCAGGGAGCCGCCTGCCCAGTGACTCATCCC